CAGTTGCTTTGTGCGGATTAATCCTCCTGAAGGTACTCCTTACTTCTGCTGAGGTCACGCTGAGATGCTCTTCATCCGGTGGTGAGGTGAGTCTGGTGCTGGGTGGTCTGTTCGGGTCTTCAAAGCGTGCATAGAACTTGTTGAGGGCATCAGGCAGAGATGGGTCTTTGGGGCATTGTTCACTCCTTCCTTTATAATCTGTTATGCACTTAATGCCCCTCCACATGCTCCGAGGGTCTTGTGAGATGTATTGACCCTCGATCCTCTGTGCATATGTGGCCTTGGCCCTCTTAATACCAGCAACCAGCTCTTTTCTTGTCCTACTCAGCTCCTCTGAGTTTCCAGACCTGAAGGCAGTGTTCTTGGCTTCCAGCAGGTACGCACCTCTGCATTCAGCCAAGGTTTTCTGTTTGGGTAGCTTTTAACATTTCTGATAGTGGAGACGGTGTCAGTACATGTACTAGAGTAACCCAGAACTGAGGATGTGTATTGGTCAAGATCAAGCGAACCTCCATTTTCAGCAGCTTCTCTGAAAACCTGCCAGTCTGTTCGATCAAAACAATCTCTCAGTATGGGGCCACTGTCCTGGATCCAGCATTTAACTTTCTTTTGTACTGGTCTGGAGCGTCTCAGCGGGGGCATGTAAGCAGGAGCCAGGAAGATTGAGATGTGGTCTGACAGTCCTAGGTGGGGGCGGAGTTCTGCTTTGTATGCATCTTTTACGTTCGTGTAAACACGGTCCAGCGTGCGGTCTCCACGTGTCGGAATTGTCACATGCTGATTAAAGCTTGGGAGACAGTCCTTTAGATTCACATGGTTAAAGTCTCCGGCTACCACGTAAAGAGCCTCGGGGTGTTTGTTCTGCAGAGAGCTGATGATATCATGAAGCTCCTGCAGTGATTCATTAGCATTAGCGTCCGGAGGAATGTAAACGACAGAGAGTGAAAGTCACCGTGAACTCACGGGGTAGATAATGTGGCCGACATTTCACTGTTATTTGCTCCAAAGCCTTCGAGCATGAGCTATTTACAACAGTACAGTTTGTGCACCAACTTTTACTCACATAAATGCACACTCCGCCTCTCCGTGATTTCCCCGTTAGCTCGCTGCAGCGGTCTGCTCGAAAAAAAAGTCTGTCATCCAGCTGGAAGACTGTATCCGGCGTTTCGCTTGTAATCCACGTTTCCATGAGGCAAAGCACTGCACACTTCTTCATCTCTTCTGAGGCGCCCGCTCTCAGACGAAGTAAATCCATCTTGTTGTCCAACGAGCGGACATTCGACAGAAAGAGAGACGGCATGGGGAGTTTACTGCCTTTAGCGTTAGCTCGTAGCCTCACCATAACCCCCGCCCGGCACCCTCTCCTCTTAAGCCGGGAGCAGCGCTTCCTCTTCTGCCCGCTGGAACGCCTCTGCTGCAGCTTCCAGGTAGATGACTTTAAGATCTGCATTCTGCCGAGCGTAGCTTTGAGTTTGTTGCTGATTTCTGCTATATTTCGTGGCAAATCCGCTCCTATTCTCATCAGTTCGGTTCGGCTATAGTTCACACGCATAAATCGCGTGGAGTCAGGCACAGAGTCAATATCAAAACTTCTAAAAACTTGGATGGTACCAGGAGCCTATGAAGCTGCAACTGCTCTGAGCACGGCCATCTTGTAAAAAAAAAAAACCATCACTCTATCTTCTCTAGAGACCATTTTGAACCCATCAGGGTTCAAAATGGTCAAATGGAGCTACTGTTTGAGGTGGGATGGATGGGTCATGAGTAGGGCATTAACAGAGTACTCGAGTAATCTTCACATCGATTGCTAGGACATCTATCGAGGTTAAAAA